TTAATGACTTGACTGTGCTGATTCATTTAATCATGGAGGGGGAGTTCATATAATCGGGTGCAATTCACTTCACAACCAGCTTGCATAGCTATGGAAGGTCTGTGTGATGACCTAGGGCACAGCACAGAGGCAATGCAGTCAGCTGGGAATTCAAACTGCCCTTTAATTGCTCCACATTTTCCCCAAATGCTCCCACGTTTCTGGCAAGCCTCCAAACAAAGGAAGACACACACACCTTCAGCCGCCTCTGGCTGCAAGTAGTTTCACATACAGTCTGATTAGGAGAGGAATTTACTCAAGGCCACGGAGATAACAAGGAATGACACATACATCATAAACCTAACGAGTCTGTGTGAATACACGCTTGCCTGAGCAGTTTCAAAAGGGAAGCCAAAATACAGTCCGAGATCTTTGAAAATCCAAGCAACGTTGTCAGCCAGTCCAATGGTCAGAGTTTCTGGATTTCCAAGCAGAAGTCACAGAACAAGAGATCAGCAACAACACACACAAAACTCCAAGTTCAGGATTTGTTCCCGACAAATGCCTCTCCCCACAGTGTCTCCTTAAATCTCAGTCTCCAGGTATGCCTTGTGGAGAGGGACGGGATGCTCTCCTCCCGAGTAGTTGAGCCTGCCTGCATTGTTCCCTCCTTCTCTCCACTCTCCGTGCTCTAGGATTAGGTGGGGGTAGCCCTTGCTCATCGTCTGAACTCTGTCTCTCCTGTGCATCCTGTCCCAATCCTGAAGGGACCTGCTTTGGCCTGCTCTTCCCCACATTCCTCTGAAACCACAGACACCTTTCCCTCGACCTCCATAGGGTTCCATTCCAGCTCACTTTCCTCCGCAGATTCAGGCTCCGACGGAGGAATGACATTCTGGATCCCAATTATGGTTGTTAGTCAAGGACTATTTGTAATTGGCTTGAAAACAATTCACGCACTTCCCAGGGCCAGCTGTTTTCTAAGTTCTTATTTACAACTTAACTGCCTATGAACTGACACCGTGTTGATTACCGACACACATAATCCAATGTAACTGCATTAACTGCTATTGCGGAATTTTCTTCAACAGGAGTCTGCCTCTATTCCAGATGCGATGGACTTCTATCCTTGTAATTCCTTAGCTTCATAGACTCACACTTTTCCTGCATTCGGTCACTGTACAGTGATGGCAGACAGCTGAATATATGAGTAGGCCAAACTGAAAATCAATGCTTTTGAAGAAAAATGAGCATTTTGTCCATGATGGCCCATTTACATGTCAATTGCTTTGGATAATACTTCAGTTTGAGTGATGTGTTCGTATAAACACTAATGGTATAATCCTAAGTATGTATGTTCCTGTATTATTTAAAGACCTTAGAATATGACCTTTTTAGCTTCGTGTGTAAATAGATTTTCACTTTTAGCATCAACAGGTGAGTTCTAAAAATTTTCAATAGCACTAGCACTTAGATTTTTCATACCATTTCACAGTGTTTTACAGCCCTCTCTAAGCGGTTTACACAGTCAGCATATTGCCTCCAACAATCTGAGTCCTCATTTTACTGACCTTGGAAGGATGGAAGGCCGAGTCAACCTTGAGCCAGTCAGAATCGAACTTTTGGCAATCGGCAGAATAACTTTTGACATACAGAAATATGATAAAATTATAATACAGAAGACTTGCTTCCTAGGTAATAAAATTATGTGATGTAAAGCTCTCCTTACAATAAACTCATGTTCTCTGTCACCAGCACAATAAATGATGGTTACTATTGCATAAGTGGAAGGTAGGCTAACCTCTCACAACTTCTCCAGGGAAAAGAGAGATTGGTATCAAATGTTGTTGAAAGAAATTGAAATTGCAAAATTTCAGCTGAAAGCACAGCTGTGGTTTTGTTCAGTGCCTGAATGAGAGACTAATACACTATCCAAAATATGTAGATATTGAGTTCCACCAGAATCAATGTTAATAATATAGTGAATGATCCAATAATTTACAAAAGAACATACAACTGTATTATAAAACCCATTTATTATAAACAGTTTTCAAAGTATCAGCATCTCTTTCACCAAGGAACAGATGAAGCATATAATAATTACAAACTAATGATGCTTAGGGACAAGATAAAAGGAATCTTACTCAAGCTTACATCATCTCTGAAGAATTAACAACAAAATCACCTAAACAGTAAGGACACTTATACAAGAAAACAGAATGAATCTGCTTCATGTATTGCTTATGTCATTTTTCAACTCTATTTTTCAAATAAGCATTTTTCTAAATAAACAACTAGAAAGCTATATAAAAAAGAAAATTTTACAATAGTATATATTTTGTTCTTTTTAAAAAAAGTCGGACACTTTATATATTGCGTATTTTGGAACAACCCTTTGGTTTTGATAAAGTGTGGTTTTCTATATGACAAGAGGCAGTGTGAAAAAGCTGTCATTCAAAAATATTGCACACAACGCACTAGGCCTCATTGCCATGTATCCACAGCACTAACAGATGATTATGAGGGGGCCATGTCTTATTTTTCCAAGATGGTTTTAAAAGGAGGATTAAGGAGTGTTTGCTGAAGGCACTGGTTTGAAATGTTTACAGTACAAACAAGCACTATGATTTACTCTTTTGTAAAGTGAATTGTTTGGAAATTTTACATTAGATTCTCCCAAACAGTTATGGCCACATACAGCCAAATCATCATCCATCTGTACCCAATAGCTACAGCAGACCTCTGTTGATATGATCACATACCTCTTTTTATGATAGCAATACACGTGTCATAGCCTAAAAGTTCTATCCCACAATACTCTCCCAAATAATGTATATTTAAGAGTTTTGTTCAAACTCTTAATGGGTATCTAGGTAGTAGCATAAGAAACTCCAAAGAGCAACAAAGCAATAATTTACTCAAGCCCTTCTGTGTGCCACTCTTGAAGAAAATTTTAATCAAATAAAAGGAATAGCCAGATTTCAAAGAAACAAGCAATGCTAAGAAAAGAATCTGCTTTTATGATGCGGTTATATCTGTAATTAAAACGAGCTTACTTTATTGCAATAAGCAAACAATTATTTAACTCACAGCAATTCCTGCCTTTCATTTCAAATGTCTTTGAAATATGCTGGAGAAGAGGATGTTAATACAGGCTGGCCATGATTTTTCAATGCAATTTTTGGTTGCCTATCATTACCCTCTGGATTGATTTCCAGTTACTTAAAATCATTTTACTAAATTTAATAATTTGAAGGCAATATTCTTTATGACTATTTAGTTCACATAATTTCAGTTTATCATATTTTATTGTATTATGTTGATATTATGATATAATTTGATACAATTGTTTGATAAAATAAACTGAAAATTGATATTGATTTCTATCTTGATTTGGGGAATTAAGAATATTTGTGGATCTTCCCATCTATCAATAAATAATCTCCATTACACTATTTAAAAAAGTACAGATCTCCAACAAGGAAATCAGCTCTGACCTGCAAAAAAAAACCCCAAACAAGCCATAAGAAAAATTTATATATATATATATAGCTGCTTCAAACAGGACTTAGCCAAATATGGAAGAATGAGCTGCCATGATACAAAAAACCTGCTATTCTTCTCAGGGTTGCAAATGTTAAATTTTTTATTTTTATTTAGTGGCCTGATAGTCATATGCAAGGCTCAAAGCACATAGACAATGACAAAAATCTACAACTCCTTGAAGCACCTGCAATCTCACACATCTGTTTTTTGCAGGCAAGATAAACCTAGAGAAGATAGGTAATAGGACAGCTAGTTCTTTCATGGTCTACATCAGGGGTCTTCAAACTTGGTCCTTTTATGACTTGTGGACTTCAACTCCCAGAATTCCTCAGCCAGGCACACTGGCTAAGGAATTCTGGGAGTTGAAGTCCACAAGTCATAAAAGGGCCAATTTTGAAGACCCCTGGTCTACATATGCCGACAATGAGAAGGAAGAATGAACAAGCAGAGGACTAAAAGGGAGCAATGGGGATTGAAGGGATCCAAAGCTACAGAGTAGAGGAGAACTGTGGAAGGAACATCTTCCATGAATTGAGAATTGTGAGAGAAGCAGCTGTAGGAGAGGTTGTCTGAAAAGGAATCAAATCAGAGTTAGAAAAGAAAGCCATTTCCTTTGGGTAGTAAAAGAAAGAACAAGAATTTTCTCTCTTGGAAGAGAAGGCAAGCCTAGCTAAGGAACTCATTAGCATTTAAAAGCATGCATTTTGATAAGTGACTGTGGAAGATGGGAGGATGAAAAAGGGAGAAATTTAAGAAATTTTTCACCTGTTTTAACCTTTAAACAAATTAGTAATTATCTGAAGGATACGAATACTTGTTAAGTTAAACGTATGCCTTGATTCCTTCCATTCCTATAAATTGGGAATAGGATGTTGAATATGCATACAAACTATCAATTATTATAATCTTTTGTAAATAACAATAACTTTTACTTTAATATGTCAGTTCCACGCATGTCTAGATTGGTTCCTATCCTCATCAATTTTCCAAGATTAATGTTTGGAAGATCAGATCCCACCTAGGTATGTTCTATATAAATGACTAATAATGATGCAAATACATTCATCTCACTTCAAGCTCTTTCTGTTAATTTGTTATAAGGAGAACTGAACAAATTATCAAAAATTTCAGAGTGACGTTATATGACTTTCTGAATTATTTTTCTGAGGGTTTTTTTTAGATTTATAAAAGCTTAACAAAAAAAAGTAGAATTATTACCATATTGCAAAAGATGACTGCAAATTAATATTGGGTGTTCAGAATGTTCATAAATTGCCCACTAGATAATCAAATGCAAATTGTCATAACAGAGTGCTTGTATAGCTTTAACCCAATAATATATAAGTTGGGGAAATAATTGTGACATCCTCAAACTTTTCCAAAAAGCAGCCACATGAGCAATGAAATAGTTTTTGACATTTTTTTTCATTACCTAGCTGTTTTCAGAAAATACTTTTTTTTTTTTACTCCATCAAGACTTCATAAAGTTAAGACTTGCAGAATTTTCGCATAGAGGAACTGTAGCTAATTGTAAACATGAATTTAGCCTCCAGGATTTCATCTGGGTGAATATTCCTTGAAAGTCTCTCATGTGGGTAATCTCTTTCTTTCATGCTATTCCCAAGTTTTCCTTCATCTTTTCATATACCACATAACTGATGCTGACAGCAGGAAGCACCTTCATGAAGTTTGGGGCTATGCCTCTGTATAGTCCAAGGATTCCTTCTTTGGCAATAATTTTTTGGAAAAGGCCAACCATGTTTAGCTGAGGGCCACTTTCTACCATCGCTACAGAAAATTAAAAAGGAAAAAAATATATATTATTCAAGCTGTCTTAATAAATAGAAGAAATCTGACGTGCATACTTAGTTGTGCTTCCCTGTCAAGAAATACATTATTTCCCTCTGTATTATGTCTACAAAACTAATTTTCTGCATGCATAAACACAAACATATTTCTCCCGTATTTCAGCTTTTCAATCCTATAGTCTACATGCAGGACTTTCAGTGTACTTCGTTTGTAATTGCAAAGTTCTGGCAGAATGGCTGAGACTAGAATATTCAGACCCTTTTCTTTTATGTGAGGGAAAGTGGTAAAATGGATCTCTTAAGTTTCTGTAACATTTAGAATGCTGTCCCTTTGCCTCCCACAAAATAGAAAAGAATAGGTTCAAAAATGTCTCATATTCTGTAATAACTGCATGTTATTTGTTCCCCCAACAAAGCAAAAGAGGGTCCTATGGGTTAAAACAGGTAGAACAAAGCCTTATTCTAGAACCTTTTATGCTAACCAGGCTTCTACCGGTCAGGCAAAGTTTTTTATCATTATTGATACAATTTGGCAAAGATCTACTTTTGACGGAAGTGGAAACCTGTGTCTCAACTCCATCATTTTAGATGAAACCTCCATTATCAGATCCTTCTCCATTTGGATAAAAAAAAGTGTGTATTGAAAGAAACCTATGTATCAGTAAGCATTATGAGTAATATCTATCCTCCCAAAATGTCAATGGAAATTCTCAGTCATCCAGATAATGTTTTTTTTCCCAAAGGTGCTTTTCCAAAAGGCAACTGGACTTTGTTTTCGTTGAAGACGTTTCGCTTCTCAGCCAAGAAGTTTCTTCAATTCTGAGAACTGAAGAAGCTTCTTGGATGAGAAGCAAAACATCTTCAAGCAAAATAAAGAAAACTCCATACAGAGGTTTGCTACCTCAACTTGCACTGAGGGAGATCAAGATATTGGGCAGACTTTAAAGACATAGTGCAACTTTTAAAAAAGTGATCACTGATGGCAGAAGGCTAGGTACATAAATTCCAGAAGAAAAAGGGTAGCCAAGCTCTTAATGATCAACAACAGTATCCTTCAATATTCATCCCTCAAGTTATCTCTTCCACACAGGCACAGTAACATAACTTTAACACTCACCTTGAGCTTGCATTCGAGTTCGGATAAGGGCAAGTGGATAACTGGATAACTGGCCACAAGTACTGGATAAAGTACCGCATCCAAGCAATACTAATACACCAGGGTTGGCAGAGTCGGTGGCATATTTTTCTAACCACATTTTTTTCAATGCCTGTCAGAAATATATTGATTTAGTTAGTTCATATCTAGTTCTAAACCCATCAAAGGATGTGGCTACATTTTTATGAGACCTTCTGAAAATGGGATAAGAGTTGGAGCCTTCGAAAACATGTTGAACAAGCTAGAATACTGATCATATATTTTGAAAGTGATTTCTTTCTTTTTCTTCATTTGAGACAAATGCTTGTTTCCCTTCATCCCTCAAGTACCCTTATAAACTTGGACATTGAGTGACATTCATCAGCTGATTCACATATGTATTATGCTAAGCACTTCATCTGTATCACATTGCAGCTCAAGGGCTGCCTAAGGAGGTTATGATAGAAATGAAATAGCAACTTCCATCTGACAACTCTTTGTGACAGTTCATTATACTAATTCTCCATTTTTTTCCACAAGCATAATTGGCGTGCAAAGCACCAGCTTGTGATTTTGAACTGGCATAGTAGCCTCATCCTCAGTTTTCAATGATCTGCCCAGCAAGTCTTAGAAAAATCCCTGTGATGACTTAAATAAATAGTGAAATTAGAGAAGTGTTTGACACTTCAAAACTGCAGAACATCACCCATGACTATTTCTCTAAACATAATAGAAAACAACACAGAAAAATATATATATTCAGTAATACACTTTATTTACCCTTAAGCTGAATACATGTTATCTTTACATACATTTTAAATCATAATGGAATTTATGAGTTTGTATATATGGTATATCTCAGTGGTGGCGAACCTATGGCACTGGTGCCAGAGGCGGCACTCGGAGCCCTCTCTGTGGGCACAACCCCCTCACCAGCAGCCCCCCTGGAGGAGAGTCACCCCCAAGCGTGGCCCACGCGGAGCAGCCAGGCAGCGTAGACAAGACTCTGCCCTCACGCCCCATCATGCAGTTGATGCTGCAGGGCGCAGGGAGAGGGCGTGGCTGCCATGACGCTGCTGGGCTGCCTGGGCGATCTGCAGTGGGCCCTGAGGCGGTGAAATGGCCCTGCGGGCAGGCGGGGTGGGGGCGGGGCAGGGGGTGGAGCGGGGGCGGGGCCAGATTTTGGGTACTCGGTCTCTAAAAGGTTCGCCATCACTGGTATATCTCTTCAGTGTTTGGGATGAAGCTTATTAAAAGAAATCTCTACATAAGTTTAATATGCTGCCCACTTCAATATTTGACCTTGTATTGTTTAGTCACAACCTATTGCTCATGCAATACAGAAAACAACTGACTGACAATATGGCCACCATATCATAATGTAGCTTTATATGGATGATTTGGATCTGGGCTGGAGTGCAGAAACATTTTATTCTACAAGCAGAGCTTTGATCTTCTCCCCGTTGCCATAGGGTCTCTGGTAGAGTGACATGTCTACTGGAATTATAACTGGAGGTCACCACTGCAGGTTGGCTTGAAGCAGGAGAACTGGAGAAGCTCAGGATTTCAGCTTCCACTGCCAGCCACCAGCTGAGATCATGACTCAACAAGAGCAGGAGGACCAGGAGATCGTTGTTGAGGAACCAAACAGCCCAAGACAGTACCCTGAGATGAAACTGACTAGTAACTGGTATGTCAAAAGATCTGACCACATGGCTGATTGAGTTGTCTGGAGGACTGTGTGCAAGACTGAATTATTTTATAAATTTTCACAACACATCTGTAAGTCACAGAATAACGATGCTTAGAGAAACATACTTAAGAGAATCTGCATTCTTCAGCAATATTGATACTGCAGCTTCCAGAACTCGGCCATTATGGATAGTGTCTATTTTCAGTTTGGGAATATGCCAAGTTGAGGAAGGCTGAGGGGCAAGAAAGCCAGGATCCAATGCCTCATAAGCCAAGGTCTTACTGAGTACATTCTTCTTTTCATTTCTGCTCTAAGCAGCTTGGATGGACAGCAGACTCTACTTGGGAGAGATAAACAACTTTCCCTTGGCTACAGTGGGACTAGCTATGTTGTAATAAGGACCGAATTTATTTCTCCCCCTGGCCGCCATACTCCAAGTCTGGCAACATGATGAGGAGAAATGGCAGTCTTAGAAGAGAACAGAAAGTAATTTTTAAAAGTTCACTTCCAATGATTTACATTCATATTATTTACATATTTATTTTTCCCTAAGTGTTCTGAAGTGTTCAAGCACTTTAAATCAATAAAATTACAAAAACCTGCAAATAGGAATGGAAGGAGTTTTAAGTGCCTCTTGACTAGCACTCACTACACTGATAGGAACACTATCACAATTCCTATCAGCACACTCATCTGTCTTCCTCTTTCATAAACAAGTAAGTCCTCCCAGCCCCTCCATGGTTGGGCCTAATTAAGTGTCAGAAACCTGTTGTTTTTTTACAGAATCTGTTTGCACCAAAATGAAACTGGGCTTTGCATAATCATGACCACCAGTGACTCCACCTTCAAACTTCCATCTCTGAATAAAAGACTTGGGTATAACCTATGCAAATGCCAAGTGTTGGCTGGTGTAAACATGAAGCTCATTAAGAGATGGATATGCACTACAAATGATAATTGTCATTTGTAAAATCTCTTCATATAGAATGGGAATGAATTAGATTTAAGTGGGGCATTATAGAACAAGAAAGCATCAGCTCAGCTAATTGCTAGGAACACAATAAATGGCTGACAGGTAGCATATGCTGCCAAGTAGAGGTAGAACATTATTTCAGCATGAAACATGCTTAAGTACATGAAGATTAATAACCTGCAGCCATTAGCAGAAACTGCAGTGTAAACTATAGCAGCTGTGAAGCTAAGGTAAAAAGCATGAAATTCAGAAAGACAGCTGTATTAACTATTCAGGTATAATAATAAACTGTTATTCTGACTTACATTAAACATTCAACACCTTCCTGAACTTCTATGCTCTTCCATTTACACAAATATTTTTCTCTTATGCCCTGAATTCGGAAGGATTTATTTTATAATTATAGTTATTGTACTTTGTTCTTTTACATCAGGGGTATCAAACTGCTGGCCCGCAGGCCGGACACATCATCTGAAAGCCGCGCCCACCCCATTGCCGGCAATGGCAAAATCGGCCCAATACGTTGCGCGATGTCACGTGACATTGTGAGTTTGACACCCCTGTTTTACATCAAACAAGGTTTTTTTTTAAAAAAAAAAAATACCATGCATTACTTTCCAAAGTCAATGCAGTTTTAGACTTTTGGGAAACTGGGGGGGCGGGGTGGGGGAGTGGAGCCTTTTTCAAAGTGGCTAAAGCCTGTGCTATCTTCAGAAACTGCAGCTCTAGCCATGTGTAGGAAACCTCTTCCAGAAAAGCTGGGCTTGGAAAGGAGACAGCAAAGGCAGCAAGAAGCTGAGTACAAAAAATGAAAGTTTGGTGCATGGAAGTGGGAGAGAAGGCAACTGAGTTTCAGGTGCAAACAATGAAAGTGGCTCTGGGACTTAGGTCAAGAGATTCCTTTATTGTTGACTCCACTGTACACTAGAATCTCAACCCAATTGCTTGCTTTCCCCCGAGAAAGTCAGATATCAACCTAAGTGTTTGACCTCATATGGGAATCTAGAGGACAGACTGACATATCTCTTAACTTCCACACCAGGGAGCCCTTCCTTCCTGCTGTTGGTTCCAGCGCACTGGGTGAATGAATGTTTGCTGGTACTTGCTGGAGAGCAAAGGAATGCTTGTTTGCTGGGATGGGCTGGAGAGCCAGCCACACATGGGCTGGGGAGAGAAGGCAATTCAGAAATTGAATGCTTGCTGATGTTTCCCAGGGGGTGGCAAGCAGCCACATTACAGTGCAAGGCAGGGTGCAATGGGTCCCAAAGGACAGAGATGAGGAAGAGGTAGTCAATTGGAGGGAGTCCAATGCAGTTCCTTATTCACTGAGACTCAGGATTGGGATGGACCAAACCTAGAATGGCTTGGCTTGGGGTGGGTGCTTGCTTAACAACACATGATTCACAGGTAACAACTGCAATGGGGAGAGCTGAGATTGTCATCATAAGACAGTGCAGTGCAGTCATGTAACACCTCACTTTATAACCGCACCAACTTATGATGAAAATTGCAGTCCCAACTAACAAGTCAAGGACTTATCCTTGTAAACCCCAAATTGAATTTTCTCATAGCCGCCCATGCTTCATTGCGGCATTACAAAGATTTATTTTGTGATTGCTCTGTTAAGTACTCATTAAGCTACTACAAATTAAATTATGTAAATGATAATTCCTATTATCATTGATCACTACTTCATTAATATATCTTCTTTCCTCCAATTTGTTCAGAGGGCTGTGCAAGTTATAACAGAGCTTATTGGTTTTGGTTTAATATCCTAAGCTACGTTTTATGTTTGAGATCAATGTGTAAAGCCAGTCCTTTAATCAACAAATCATGGTTAAAATGAAGTGTGGCTTAGCCAAACATGAGAATTTAAAAAGATAAGTAGTAACCACACTAATAAAACTCTTAACATTTTAAATAAGTAGCCATTCTAGCAAAAAATGACTATTTATTTATTAAATTCCTATGCTGTTCATCTCACCGAAGCAACTCTGGGCAGCTTCAAATATAATAAAAAATTGAAAAGTACTAAAAAAAAAAAATTTAAATAGAGAAGTTAAACGTTAAAAACCAAGACGATGAATGGCCTGGGGAGAGAATTTTTTTCTAACCTATCAGCCATCCCCAATGTGGTGGGGCCCTGTCAGTGCCCCAGGCCAAATGGCAGAGCCACATTTTTAGATTATTCTGGAAAGCCAAGAGTGTGGCAGCAGATGTCACATTTGATGGAAGAATGTTCCAGAAGACGGGACCCAAAGCAGGAAATGCTATTCTTCTGGACCTCACCAGTTGAAATTCTTTGGCCAACGGGGTCCAAAGTAGATACTTTCCAGTGGAACAAGTGAGGCAGATTAGTCCGTCAGGGTGAGACAGTTCTTCAGATACTCTGGACCCATGCCATAAAGGCCTTTAAAGACAATGGCCAGAAGCAAACTGACTGCCAGTGCAGCTTGTGTAACAACTGTGTCACGTGTGCTCCTAAGGCGTCTCCTAAAATTGTGTTCTATACCAGTTTTAGTAATAGAAGGTAAGATTTGACTAAACAATCAAGATTTAACAGCATCTTCACAATATAATTGATAATCCTGTAGCACTAGAAAGCTTCAGAATTATCATACAAGCTTACAATTTCCCTATATATATTACCTACCTTAATGTTTTAAGGGAAAGTCATGAAAACTGATCTGTCCATATAAATTGGTGCAGTATGCAACCAGTGGCATCAAAGATACAGAAATGTTGAGTCTACATTCTGGGTTGAATCAAATACTTTATCCACAAAACATTTTTTTTTTTCATTGCATTATAATGGAATATGCCAACTCACCTCATAAATAGCCAGATCGATGCCAGCATATGGAATTATTCCCAAAATATTAGGAATATAACCTTTGTAAAAGGCTTTCACCCCTTCCGTTTTTAAAATTTTCTTAGCACAGTCAAACATTCCTGAATATTGACCTGTTTTACCCACTGCCAGTCTTGTTTTTAATACCTAAAGAAATAGCATTGAGCAGAAATAGTTCAGAAGACAATACAATTAAATATTATATCACAAGTTAGTCTTTAACATAGATCCAGAGTATTGGTCATATTTACAGATGTGAGAGTTAACATATGAAAAAAGGAGTTTAAAAAGAAATGTATGACCCAAACAAGACTTAAGGACATGTAAATCACTCTAGAGCTAAATCATTTCCTTTCGCATCAATTAATTTTGGCTGATATCCCTATCATTGTAAATTTTTAAATAAGAACACGTACATTAGTCTGTAGAAATAGGGTTATAGTTTTTGTGCACAACTTGGGAGATTCGCATTAGATTAAAGTCCTTTAAATATACATGCCATAGTTCTCAGCAAAGATGAACTGTTGTGGGCAACTCTAATTCACTTGGAGTATTTAATAATTCCATTGTGGTCTTAAATCATTTAACAACAGATAACGATATCTGAGACTTTGATGTTTTAAATGAAACTAGAAGAGAGATTTAGCTTGGTCTTTGCACATGCAAAATGTATGCTTGATACGAAATGCTTTAAAATGGAACTCTCCTTAGCTTAAGTGATTTTTAGAGTAAATATAGTTTAATATCAGATTATCATACTGAGGAAGGGAGGAGGGAGGGAGGAAAATAAAATAGGGCATTATTAAAAAAAGATGATATTATCCAATACCTACCTCCATAGGATAAATAGATGTCTGTGCGGTTGCTCCAGCCATAGAACCAGATATAAATCGTTCAATAGTTCCTATTTTTCCTTCTTCGTTAACAAACATTTTCTTATACTAGGTAGTATCAAGATACAAAAAAAAAAGCACATTAATTCTAAGACCCCAGAACTAATAATAATAATTCTGCCCTGGCATGTGCACAAACTCTGTATGTGTACATATCAAAGCAAATAATTTAGTCAGTAGGTTCTTGCACCATGTGATCAGCTCCAGGCTACCCAATATAGTTACTCTATTCATACATCAAATATTGATATAAATACCCATGGAGTTNAAAAAAAAAGCACATTAATTCTAAGACCCCAGAACTAATAATAATAATTCTGCCCTGGCATGTGCACAAACTCTGTATGTGTACATATCAAAGCAAATAATTTAGTCAGTAGGTTCTTGCACCATGTGATCAGCTCCAGGCTACCCAATATAGTTACTCTATTCATACATCAAATATTGATATAAATACCCATGGAGTTTCATGGTCAAAATTGAATAAGCATAATTCCCATGATGACATTAATGATGGGCCAAACAAAGAATATATAGCAAAGCTTTCCTTAACCTGCTCCACCATTACTGAATTCCTATCCCTTGGATATCATTCACCTCTAGCTCTCAGAAACAAATATAACTTTTTGCAGCAGTGAGATATACATTTTATCACTCATATAATTTGTTCAGAGTTGGCTGCTTTGCTTTAGTTTTGTTGCTATTAGTTTGCTTTTATCACGGTGTTTTTCTGTTTTATTATTAATTTGAGTATTATCTAGTCACTGCCCGTAATAATATTCTAATACCTAAGGGGTTGCCACAAGAAAGTGGGGGGTCAACCTATTCTCCAAAGCCCCTGAAGGCAGGACAAGAAGCAATGGATGGAAACTAATCGAGAGGAGCAACCTAGAACTAAGGAGAAACTTCCTGAGAGTTAGAACAATTAACCAGTGGAACAACCTGCCTCCAGAAATTGTGGGTGCTCCAATATTGGAGATTTTTAAGAAGAGACTGGACAGCCATTTGTTTGAAATGATATAGGGTTTCCTGCTTGAGCAGGGGGTTGGACTAGAAGACCTCCAAGGTTCCTTCCAACTCTTGTTATTCTATTATTCTGTAGCCTATAGCTACTGCTGCTGCTGCTACTACTACTACTACTACTACTACTACTTGAAGATGTCTTACGAAGGGTGAAATAAAGACAATTCTGTGCCTAAGGATAAGTTCTGAAAATATGGGCTCTACATATTTGCAGCAAAACTTAGCTGCAACTGGCACTGGGGCCTGCAATATGTGCCTGGATAATTTTCTAATTTAAGAAATTTCTCCTTTTCTACTTTAGAGTTGCTTTACACGGGGGGGGGGGGGAGAAAAAGCATAAAAAAGATTGATACATCTGTAGCAAGGCTGATGGTTGAAAGGGCGGAGAATATTTTTGATGTATCGCAGTTCCCTCAGCCTGTATCAAATACAGCATTGCAAATGTCCAAGTATGATGCAGTAAACTTTGTGCTTTGTGATCCATCCAGCTCAGCAGCATATAACTATTTCAGCTGTTACAAAGACTCAAACACTTGCCCACTTTCTCTTCTTATGTTACATACAGAGGCAAAGGGGACCCACAATGTAACAAAACCAAAAAAGGAAAAAATAGGGAATTTCTGGCAAGGAAAACACTTAGATATAATACTGATTTGTTTTCTGTATTTCCTTGAACAAACTTCAACTCTCTGAAGTGAATTGTTCTCTGTCTGTCAAGCTGATTTCATGAGACTCTGTGTGTGTGTGTGCCTTTGAGCCAATATTAACTCCTGGAGATTGCCTGGACAAGTCTCTGCAGTTTTCTTGGCAAGGTTTTTCAGAAATGGTTTGCCCTTGCCTTATTCCTAGGGCTGAGAAAGAATGATTGGCCCAAGGTTACCCAGCTGATGAGACTAGAACTCACAAGTCTCCTGGTTTCTAGCCTACCAGCTTAACCACTTGTTGTTAGTTGCAAAGTCATGTCCGACCCATCGCGACCCCATGGACAACATTCCTCCAGGCCTTCCTGTCCTCTACCATCTTCTGGAATCCATTTAAGCTCACGCCTACTGCTTCAGTGACTCCATCCAGCCACCTCATTCTCTATCGTCCCATTCTTCTATTGCCCTCAATCTTTCCCAGCATTAGGCTCTTCTCCAGTGAGTCCTTCCTTCTCATTAGGTGGCCAAAGTACTTGAGTTTCAACTTCAGGATCTGGCCTTCTAAACCACTTAACCACTACTGCTTAACCACTACTGCATAGCAAACTGGGTCTCAATTTCCGAAGACTACTGGAAGGATCAAATGAGTTTATAGGTATCCTTGAAGCAAAAATGAGCTATAATTTGACTCTACATACTATTCAACTCCAGTCAAGAGAGAACTCTCGTTTCTTTTCTTTTTTTCTTCTTCTTCAAAAGACCATTAGGTCTTTTTTTAAGTAGAGAAAGTGTAGTGAACCGCTACTTAGACAACAGTCAGATGAAAGAAAGAAAAAACATTGGAGTCCAGGGCAGAACTGTAGCCTGAGAAAATGTCACAGACAAGGCTCTCCCCTGTTTTGAGAAAGATAAAGGCAGGGGGGGAAGCACTTTAAGACTTGCAATATTCTGCTACTATAGCTTTACAATAAAAGTAGTATTGGCTTCCACGACTTTGGTTTCCTAGCATGGTCTACCTTGAAGGGCTGACAAAAACAGGATTCAAAAAAATGTTAATTAATTATTTTTAAAAACAGTACTAGCTAAAGATATTACCTTTGGAGGTAGCTTAACAGAATGCTTTCTTCTAGAAATGGATATAACCTGAGAAAGCAGTTTCATGGACAAATACAATCCTGAGATCCAGGGTAAGACAATTTTTACTACAGGGAGTCCGTGACTTACAGGAGTTCTTTAAGTGACCGTTTGAAGTTACAACAGCACTGAAAAAAGTGACTTATGGCCAGTTTCCACACTTACAAACACTGCAGGGTCCCCATGGTCACATGATCAAAAATCACATGCTTAGCAACTGGCATGTATTTATGATGGTTGCAGTGTCCCGGGATCGTGTGATCACCTTTTGTGACCTTCTGACAAACAAAGCCAATGGGGAAGCCAGATTCACTTAACAACCGTGTTACTAACTTAACAACTGCAGTGATAGGCTTAACAGCTGTGGCAAGAAAGGTCGTAAAATGGGACAAAATTTCACAACTGTTCTTGCTTAGCAACAGAGATTTTGGGGTCAACTGTGGTCGTAAGTCAAGGACTACCTGTACTGTTCAGTGAATGTCAGTCTTATACAAAAGGAGGAGCTTATCAGAGTTTCCTATGTTTTTAACACCTTACCCGTTCATAGGCCCAGAACTTGATGGCTGTTTCGGGTGCAATTTTGACAACATTCACACCATTTCCCCTCCAAAGGGAACGGACTCCTCCTTCTTTCACCATTTGCTTCAGGCCACCAGCTATGTTCATTTTTCCCTTTGAGCCGTGAACCTACAAGGAAAAGGAAACATAATTAACTGACATATAGAGAAAACATGCTGAATCATAATCATCTCTTTTATCCTTCGAGAGAAGCATAAAGTAAGCAGATCTTTCAAGAATTGGAACCATTCCAGATGGAATTGGAACCATTCCAGATTATGCACTAGGAATTGGAACCATTCCAGATTATGCACTAGGTATAGTGCCTGGTCTCATGACATCTGACACACACGACTGAAGATTCAGATTTTGCGTTTCTTTTGTGACAAACGACAAAACCTGTTTGTTAAGGCTCCCACCTAGCCATTAAAAATGCAGAAGTGTGGTGTTATTCCCCTTCCTTCTTTAGGCTAAATGGGAAAAGAAAAAAGCAACATCTGAGCTGATATCTAACCCTCTTATTTTTATTCAACTCTCTCTCTTCCGATACCGATTTCCTTGCTGAGCGTAAATGTGGCAGCTCCAAGTGCTTTAGCATGAAGCTCCTGTACAGATAGTCCTCGACTTACAACCACAATGGAGCCCAAACATTTCTGTTGCTAAGTGAGACATTGTTAAGTGATTTTTGCCTCATTTTATGACCTTACTTGTGGCACAGCAATTAAGTTAGCAACACGGTTGTTAAGTGAATCTAGCTTCCCCATGATCACATGACTCTGGGACACTACAACGGTCATAAATGTGAATTAGTTGCCAAGAGTCTGAATTTTGATCATGCAACCATGGGGATGCTGCAGTGGTCATAAGTATGAAAAACAATTCATATGTCACTTTTTCAGTGCGGTTGTAACTTCGAACGGTCTCCAAAGGAACTGGTATAAGTCGAGGACTATCTGTATCACATAGAGGTGGAAGGGAAGAGTGCAGACTATAGATACCTTCTTCCACTTTCCCCAACATGTCTTAATTCTCTACAGCAGGGGTCCCCAACTCCCGGTCCGTGGACCAATACCGCATGCCAGCAACTGGTCTGCACCAACAAGTGAAGTTCCATTTGCAAGATGCAGGCAGCACACAAAACCACGCACTCTCTGGTCCGTGGAAAAACCTTTCACCACGGAACCGGTCCCTGGTGCCCAAAAGGTTGGGGACCTCTACTCTACATCTTCTCTTTGAGGCAATTATTCTGGCAGCCAAAAGTCAATACCCAAGGGAGGTTTGTTTACTGGAGAGAACTACCACCTCAGTTTTCCATGTTTGGTCTTCTTTGACTATGAACCTTTTTAATCTACCACTCCTTCTGCCATCTGGCCATTGGCTGCCGAAATTAAAGTGGGCTGAAAGAAAATCTATTAAGAATGTCTAGGTAAACTATCGAATATTAGTGAGGGTTTCTGACTAACAATAGCAGCATCAAGATAATTTTCCTCCCCCCACCACTAGTCTTAAATATTATTGTTGAAATTAAGAAACCTCGAGTGAGCAAATGGAATGGATTTTTGTGCAATAGTTCTGGGAGCCGCGTTCAGTCCTGACGCTAAAAACAATGCTGTAGGTTCTGATTCCCTGATTCCGAGTATGTCAGACAAATCTCGGGATTTTTATAATAAGCAAAGTAGATCAATTCTAAGTCCATCCATCTCTGGAGCAAACTATTTCTGATAAAATATGACAAACCGCTCTTCTGACTGACTGCATCCAAACTTTTAAGATGTCTAAAGAAGCTTCTTGGACCTCAGATGGTTTGTTTTAAGAGGCCCACCTGCATCATAACTTTGAGACGATCAAGGGGTGCTGTGCCTGTTCGAGACACGGCCCCAGCAACTCCACCTGACAAAAGCTGCTTCCACCACTGGCCAGTCTTCTTCTCTTCTTCAGTGAATTCATCAGGAATAGTTAAACTATCTCCAATATCTAATACCTGTTAAAGTGCCAAAGAGAGAATGAGAAAGAGCAAGCAAGAGAATGAATGACTTAAATTCCATCTGCCTTTATTTCAACAAAGACATTGATGGCGATAAAACACAATTACATTCAGCTAAAAATTGAAAAGAAGCACACACAATACATTCTACAATCCATCATTTTGACAATTCTACCATTGTAAATACAATTAATTTAAAAATGTTGAATTGAGTATGGCTGTAATAAAGACATCATCTAAAAAGCATTTAACATCCCTGGGCAAATCTTACTGTATCATTACAAAGAATGTCTTTGCAGCTATTTTTTAAGAAAGACCTTGGAAAAGTATTATTTTTAAGAAAGACCTTGGAAAAGTATTATTAAGCCAATGATCTATTACTTTATCCTAGCTTTTTTTAAAAAAAAATATTCAATCAATATTATGTATTCTTCATATATAATTTCAAGTTACCAAAGCAAGAAGTACCATAAGGGATATTTAGATAACTCTTTAATATATCTTCAAACAAGAAAACTTCAGGGTTAGAGAGCATTTTTTTTTACCCAAACTGAACCCTGGCAAATTTATATGTTAAAATGTGAATCCACATTCTCTTTCTTTCTTTCTTTCTTTCTTTCTTTCTTTCTTTCTTTCTTTCTTTCTTATTTATTTATTTATTTATTTATTTATTTATTTATTTATTTATTTATTTATTTATTTATTTATTTATTTATTTATTTATTTTCAACATCATACCAGCCCCCAGTACCCAAAAACAGAATTTCCCAGCAAGAGATAGAAATAAGACACTGGACAAAATGGGAGGTAGGTGTCCTATAGGGAAATGTGGATAGAAGACAGGGAGCAATATTTTCTGGATTTCTCCTATTGTTACTTGTATTAGGATTGACAGATAAATCCTTAATTTAGCAGACATTTAGATTTAACAGGCAGACCTTCTCCCATGGAAGACATGGAGCTTGCTTTTTATTTTATTATTTTATTTTATTATTTTATTTTATTTTATTTATTATTTTATTATTTTATTTATTTATTTATTATTTTATTATTATTTTATTATTATTATTATTAAATTTATCTGCAAGCTCATCTCACTATCCAAGGTTGCTATATTTTTTTGTTTTCATTATTTCACTCAGCAGGTCAGCAAAAAAGGTAAACTGAAGCAATGATTGACAATATATAATTTAAAAATATATTTAAGCAAATGTATACAAATTGTATTTAATTACTAAGTTTAAGTTTATTACAGTCAAAGACCAGAGACCAGTATTTAATTATTTAAAACTTTTATTTAATAACTGGTAGTCCTCAAATTATAGCAACAGTTGGGCTAGCGGAAATTACCCCAGTGACTTGTGACCTTCCCTGTCAGCTTCACCACTGAATTGCTGGGGAAGCTGGTAGTAAAGGTTGCAAATGATAATCACATGATTGACTCTGCAACTGGTCATAAGAGTGAACCAGATGACAAGCATGCAGATCATGATCACATGACTCTAAGGGTACTAGGACAGCCCGAATTTTGAGGACCAGCCATAACCATGAGTTGCTCAGCACTGTCATAACTTTGAATAGTTGCTGAACCGTATCAAGGATTATATTTAAGTCTATCCGTTTCAGATATCAATCCTCTCCCTGCTTCAGATTTCATCCACATTTTAGATGCCGTTCCCAGTCAAGGTGCAAATGGATGTCAAAGCAATAATTCTAACTCTAGAAAGAAAGAAAAATCAGGCACTTTTTTCTGAATGCAATGAAGCTGAATAGACTTTGTTTTACTTGTGAATTTTACTCTGGAAATCAAGAAATCACCAACTCTTACATCAAGAATGGAGAGGTATATTTACTTTTCAGGACTCTCTTACAAGTATTTATCATTGCTGAAGGCTGCAGACCAGAAACCGGTTTAGTTCATCATTTCTACTACAAAATCTGCTGCTTTTGATCACACCCTTGCATGACCATCAGCTGTTCAACAGTGCGCAGCTGAACAACCATCAAGAAGCAAAATTATCCTATTGTCTCATCCAAATCATTCCATTATGCTGTCTGAACTGTTTATATTCGGTTAGTGATTATAATAACCACTAACTTTTAATCGGCATTTTCAATTTATCAGGACTTCAAGAATTGTAGATTTTTTTTAAGCGTGAAGTCTGCCAAAAGAAAAATGAAGGAAATCCACACATGATCTGCAGGAATAGTGTGTTTGTCAACATTTTCTTCTTAAATTGGAGAGGGGATTCAAGTCATTATCCTGGTGACCGCCTCCTGCCGCAGATTACCTCCCATCGGCCTGTACGCTCCCACAGAGTGGGTCTCCTCAGGGTGCCGTCGGCCAGACAGTGCCGGCTGGCGACCCCAAGGGGGAGGGCCTTCTCTGTGGGAGCTCCCACCCTCTGGAATGAACTACCCCCAGAGATCAGGGTGATCCCTGATCTCCCTTCCTTCCGCCGCGC